AACCAGGCACATCTGGGATTGCAGTGCAGCTTCTTGCCACTAGGCCACCAGAGCTCCCTTGTAAATGAACTTTTGAGCAATAGTAGTTATACCTGTGTGTAGATATACACTGTGTATGCAAATAATTGTTCTTACAGCCTGGCCGCTCATGCTGGGAGACTATCCTGTATTCAGCGTGGAGGGTTCATTCTCTGACCTTGAACTCCCTGAACCTTTTGGTGGTTGCAGGGGATACTGATACTTTTCCTGATAGGAAGTTTGTCCTGAGGGCAAAGGGGAACCCATTGTGAGGAAGCAGATTGTATGAAGAATAAGGCCACAGGTGCCTAGATAGTTATTATGGACTGTTAAGTTGGAACTGACTCATAGCTGACTCTCCAGCAGAGACTGGTTTCCAGAAACTAAATCTCATGGGAGAGACTGCCCATCTTTCTCCTGTGGAGCAGGTGGTGGATTAGAACCATGTACCTTTGGGTTGGTAGTACAATTCCTTACCACTAAGCTACCAGAGCTCTGCTAAAGTCCCTCCAAGAGATAGACTTCAGGGAAAGAGTGGAAGAGGCCATCTGACCACCTCCCCAGTGGTTTCCTTCCTGACCTGTCTCTGCCTCCATTTAATTCCACCACCAGCATCTGCTGTAGTCCCCCTGAGGACCCCATCTGGGCACCTGGGTGGAGCCTCAGATCCCTGCTCCCAAAGAACACAGAGCTGGTCACTCAGCTTGGTCAGTGCTTTATTGAACCACGGCCCTTCTTGCACCTTGAGACTCAGAATCCAGAGGCTGCTCCGGCCTTTGTTTAGCTGTTTCCATGTCATTTCCTCTTGACCACTTCCAGTGTAGACTCATTCATCCTCCAGCCACAGCTGCCACTCTTACCCAAGTGCTTGTTTGTGTGCACATGTTTGTGCAAGGCATTGTCCATCTGTCCATCCATGACAAGAAAACAGCAGCAGGTTCTGACCAGCCAGGCCCTGGGTTCACCGCTGGGGCCAGGCTCTCAGCTGTCTCATGATTAAGACTTTTCCCCTCACCTCTGAGGAGCCCCCTAGGATAGTAACATCCTTTAGAGGCAACAGAAGGCAGGGCTTAATGGGTCGTTAATATTTAGATTTCTAATTCCAGCTGGCTAGAGGAAGCTAAACCTCAGCCTGAAACAGACAAAAAAAAATACATATATATCAAGACAAACAAATCAAGCATGCAAGTAACACTGTAAGAGGAGACAGAAAGAGCTTATGCAGGTGTGTATGGGGGGGACAGGAAGAAGGAAAAGGAAGGGGGAGACACAGCAGACACAGTCCATGATTCCTGAGGAGGGGAGGTGGGGCCCTGCCATAAGGGCAGACACTGGAGTGGTCACTCCCAGGGGAAGGCTGGGAGTTCAGCTGGAAGCCTGTCCTGGGCAGTGGGGGCTTCCCCATAGCCTCAGTTGACAGGCAAATAAAGCCTTTAGAAAGAGGACTGTTCTATTCACAAGAAGACAGAATTGTCAAAGGAGAGAAACAAGCGAAAAGGCCCCTGTTGGATGCAACACACTTCCTCTGAGTGCGTCTTAACCTTTTCCACAGGGGCTGGGGACATGGAAAAATGACTGGACTCGAAAAGGGGGCTGGGGGTACACAGACAGGAAACCCTCATGGCCCTCTCCCTGGACGGCACCTGGCACCTCCCCAGCAGGCCCTCAGCCCACAGGCCCATTGTGATGAAGACTCCTGGGATCACTGGTCCTGCAGCCGGCTACAGAGCTCCCGGCGGCTCCGCTCCCCTACCCAGCTGCGTGTCTTTAGGCGGAAGGTCTTCAGCTCTTCCTTGAAGGCCTCATCGTTCATGGGCCGGTAGTCTTGGGGCTCACACAACGTCTAGGGTAGGATGGAAGGGCTCAGCAAACACTGGGAAGAGGAGACTCTAGGGCATGCCAGACCCCCTATTCCCTCCCCAAGAGTGACAACTCACTTGAGCCATTTCCCTGAGCTTGGGCCCACCCACCAACACTGGGACCATTCCCCAGCTACTGTACCGGGTGCTGGGGGAAGAACTCCTTATAGCCGCCTTTAAGGATGTACATCTCGGGGTAGTGGAGACTGGGATAGTCGTTAGCAGCACGGTCTCGTTTCCGGATGAATCGGCACCTAGACCAGCACAAAAGAGGGAAGTTAGTATTGGGCACATGGTGGGGGACACATCAGTGGCTCCTGAGCAAGGAATATCAGCTCAGAGGACAGTTATAAGACCAGCCTGGCTACTGGGCATAGAACAGGATGAGGACGGGAATCAAGAAGGCTCTGCATTCCCCAAAGGGGGTGTGCCATCTTGGTTAGAGGTAGCAGGTGTGGCTTGGATTAAGGAAGAGGCAGAAATGGAGAAAAGTAGATAGAATCAAAGAGGTCCAATTAGGTGGTCTTGGACAAGACCTAGTCATGTCAAAAAATGAGGAGAGAGATAGAAAAACTCAAGTTCAACACTCAAGGACTGGTCCCAGTGTCTAGACAGTGGCGATACCATCAGCAAAGTTTGAAGATCCAGAAGGGAAAGTGCAGGCAGGCAGCAATGAGGACTCTGGCTCTAGAAATCTGTAAAGAGCATCTGGGTACATACAGATTACCAGCTCCCATGATAGGCCTCCTGGGTCAGAAAGAGACTAACAACAGACTGGTCAGGAAGGAGAGCAGGCCTGAGCCAGAGGATTTACGAATGAGCCATGAGAGAGATGAGAGGAGGGACTGTGGGATCAGTTCAAGGGAGCAGTTAATATCACTGACCTCAGGGGAGAGTCAGTGTGACTGAGGACTGGGAAGGGACCCTTGGATTTTAAGAAGGATAGTGCTAGAGAGTCAGAATCATGGAGGTGGCCACCATGGACAGAAGAGAAATTAGACTTGAGAGGAAGAATGTTAAGAGGGAGGTAAAGGAGCGTGCCAGGCACAGAGTGTACCAGGAAATTCAGTGGAGAAGGGGAGCAGTCATCTCAGTCCAACAGATGAGGCCCGAGGCCCAGGCTGTGGAAGGCCCATGCTCCACTATGCCCAGCGCTCCAGCTCACAGAAGGTTCAGGGACAGAGCCAGCACTCACATGCGGGGGCCTCGCTCAGATGAGAATTCACAGTGGAAGATGAGGATGATTCTCTGGTCCAGGTTACAGGCCTTGATGGGGCTTTGCAAGAGGAAGGTCTCAGCATCACGTTCCAGGGGGAGGTTTACAGCAGTCTGCGGAGAAGTCAGCTGTCAGGAAGCAGAGTCCTACCTTTTGCACTCCCAGGTGACCACACATCCCTGGAAACCTTTAGCTGGATCCCTTACCTGTGGAAGGTGCACCCACCCTCCAACCATCCCCCCCTTGCTGCAGAGGAAGACCTTGACCACAGGGGTGCACAGGGCCACACCCCTTACCTTGATGTGCCCTCCTTCATACTCATAGGGGTAGCGGCAGTCCACGATGACAAACCTCTCCACAATATTGCTAAACTTGCCCATCAGCAGGGCCACCATCTGTAAGAGGCCAGAGGGGCTGATGTCAGCATGGGGAGTTGACAGCTAAGCCTCAGGGGACTACTGCCTGTGCTGGGCACCCACCCCACTGACCGTTTCTGGTGAGATGTACTTGAGATCTTGGTGTTTTCCATCCACAGTCTGTAGGAGGAAAGCCTGAAGGAAAGGATGAGAATGAAAGGGAGAAAAGAGAAAGTGAAATTCGAAAGGATGGAGTTTCGTTTCTAAAAACTCAAAGGTTACACCTACTTTGGCCTTTAAATTCAGCTGTTTTCCAGAGCCACCAAAAGGTGTCTAGTGGGTCTGATAACCAGGGAAACAGTTGCCAAGCCCCAGCTCTGGTGGCTTAATGGTAAGGAATTGCACTCAACTCAAAGGCTCACTGTTCAAATCCTTCACCAGCTGATCTGCTGAAGAAAGATAGGCAATTTCCTCCCATGCAATTTACTGCCTCTGAAAACCTGCTGGAGGGTCAGCTATGAGTAGGTTCCAACTTGCTGGTACACAACAATATAACAAGCCCAAAGGTAAGGTTCCTCTCCAAGTTTCCATGTCAGAATTAGTTTGGAAAGGTCTTTAAAAATCAAGACCCAGTAAGCTCTGGTAGCCTAGTGGCAAGAAGCTGCACTGCAATCTCAGAGGTGCACAGTTCGAATCCACCAGATCCTCTGCTGGAGAAAGAGGGACAAATCTCCTCCTGTACCAGTCAGATCTGATGTGATGGTACACACACATCCTCATCATCATCATCAAAAAAGTCAAGACCCAGTGAGGGCCTGTTTGGATCTGAGGCTGATTCAGGAGGATCAGGGCCAGAATAAGGAAGCTAGCTACTATACAGTAAATGATGAAAAGAGGGGGAGTGAGGGAGGGCCAGGGGTCTGCAGGTGGGAAGGGCTAAGCCTCCTGAGGAGTCCAGCCAGCTGGTACCTTGGAGTAGTCACCAATTAGCTGCCTGTGGTCACTGTCCAGTATGTTCTTGATCTCGTCATGACACAGTGACTTGGAGCGGAGGACACGGGCTTTCTGGGAGGCAAAGCAGACAAGGTTGGAGTTAGGGTGAGACTGGCACACACTTTCTGCCTTCCACACACACCCTTCGAGACAAACCCACCCACAGAGGGCTTAATGAGGGAGCTCAGAGGTGGCACCCCAGGGGGACAGCCCCAGCACAGGCCACCAGGGGCCCCCAGGAGGAGGGCACTCACTGGCTCCTCCAGCTGCCATTCCTCCTCTGGCGGTGTCAGGCTCTTCCTCCGCTTGCTCAGGATGGGAACTTCCCTGTCCTGTGGCCTCTCCAGCCTCTTGAGGATGGGCCGGATGGCGCTGCAGGGTAAGGATGGGGAGCGGAAGAGCCGCCGGCACTTGCTGTACATGATGAGATCCTGGGGGTGGCAGGGGAGGGGTCAGTGGGTCCCCAACGCCACCTGGGTAAAATCTGAGTGTCCACCCCCCAGGGACTTACCTGCTCCTTGTCCTTTTCTGAAGCCTTGACCAGTGGGGCACTGATGAGACTCTCCATGCCTGGGGGGACCTCATCATCATCCTGGGGCCGAATCAGCAGAGAGGTGATGGTCAGACCCAACAGGCACAGGCCAGGCCCCTTAGGCCCCTGAATCCTCCCTTGTGGTCATTTCTGTTCCAACCAACCCAGGCCTGCAGATCTACCCTCATTCCTGGTCCACCCGGCACCTCCACACAGGGCTGCGCTCTGTGGTTATGATGATGCTGAGAATTACAGAGAGCAGGGAGGGAGCCAGGCCTTCCCTCTGCCTGTCCTCCCTCCAGCACCAGTCACCACAGGAGGTCAGGCCGCAGCCCACTCACTTCACACTCTTCTAACACTGTGGGATGAGGTCACCGTCTAGCTGCGGGAGCTCAGCGTCCTCTTCTTTTAGGAGACCCCAGAGGAGAAGAAGGGACCCATTACCTTTAGTTCACTCTCCAGGACATCGACAAATCCATCATCTTCCTCATCGGCCCCCTCCATGGGGCTCAGGGAGGAGCGGCGTTGGGGTAGTGGGCTCAGCTGGTCCACTTCCATGTCCCGCTCAGGGCTGAGATACTGTGTAGTGACAGGATGACAGCCTGCTCAGGGCCCAGCCCCACCCTGCTGAGGAAAGGTTCCTGACCACCCCCCACTTCAACACCATGGGGCTGAGGACCACCATTCCCCTCCCCCAGGCCACAGGGTTGCCAGCCCTCCAAGCGAAGCATACCATTAGGTCAGGTGCTGAGCTTGGCCTCTGGGCAAAGGCCTCTCGGCGGCTAGTCCACTCGGCCACTGCCTGGCCTTGGCCGGGACACGCCGGCTTCCATGGCATCTTGAAGACACAACCATCCTGTGGGTAAGGGGAGTTGGGGCACAGTCACCAAGTGCCACAGAGCCCCCTCAGGATTCCCCATTCTGGCCCTCCCTAGAGTCTCCCCTCCGGGTGTCGCAGAAACGCACATTCTCCTTGTCTTCCCCCGAAATGCCGGTGCCTCTGCTGCCCACCTCACTCCTCCTTCTCCCACCCCGGATGTTGGTGATGTTCCGGAGCACCGGGCTGTGGCCCAAAAGCCTCACCTGGAAGCAGAGTGGACAGTTGTATGGACGGTGGATTCTCAGTGCCAGCGCACACCTGCCTTCTCCCTCCCTTCCTCAGGGCGTCCATCTCCTGCCAGGCCCCCATAGACAGGTCTGGGATGCCCAGCCACTTAAACTCCAGACGCCGGGAGGTGACATGAGCAATCTTACTCATCAGGCCCACAGGCCTAGGCCAGCCCCCTAAGGCCGCTGGATCCTCCCCAGGGAGCACTCACCGGCAAGGACTGGATCCGTCTGATGGAAAACTGTTCACTGCACAGAAACAGGGACAGGTTAGGGTGGGGAGAGTGGGGGTGAGGAGTTAAGTACCCAGCATGGTTCACTTCCCCTCCCCAAGGCTTCCTTGGATCCCTAGTTAAGCACCCAGCATGGTTCCCTTCCCCCTCCCCAAGGCTTCCTTGGATCCCTAGTGACAAATACCTCTAACTCCTAGGTCATATCCTCTCCTCCGTCCTAAGAAAGGAGCCCCCCCCCCCGCCCCGGGGCCTTCCTATGCTGCCCACCCCTGAGTAAGGCAGGCCCAGGAACACTCACTTCCGAATGACCCAGCCAGTTGCCTGGATGGCCTGCTCAAACCTACAAGAGAGAGGGGAGGCCCATGCAGCCCACTTTCCCCTGCAGCCCACCCCAATCTCCAGGATTGGGCCCCGGACCACAAGGCCCAGAGCTAGGGTGGAAGGTGGAGAGGATGCCAGTCCCCAGCAGAGCCAGGCATCAAGGAGGAGAGAGGACATTAAAACCACCCTAAATTGAAGAAGGTGTGGAGAATGGCTGCTGTAGAGACAGCTGGGGCAGGTCTGTAGAGACAGCTGGGGCAGGTCGCAGGGTCACTGAGGCGTCACCAAGGCGTCACCAAGGCAACAGTCTCTCCAGCTTGCCTGCAGGCCTTCCACCTGTATGCAAATCGCCTCAGTAGGCCATATGGTCACCAAGAAAGGCATCCATCCATCCTGCAGATGACAGGCCTCAGCACGCGACAATGTAAGTCTCTAGGGCCCCTCTGCCAACAAGGCTGGGCGTCCATTCCCTCAGCTTCCCCCCTCCACCATGCTCCTCCAAGGCAGGGGCCTAGTTTAAGGTTTCCTGGATCAGCCTCAATCGGCCAGGCCAGACCCCCTAGTGACAAAATGCACAGGGTCATATCCTCTCCTCCCTCCTGTGGAATTTCCAGGATCCAGCCTCAGTTCCACCCCTCCTCCTGTCTTAAAAAGAGGGCAGGAATTCCGACAGATGTGCCTTTTGAGGTGAGGGCATAAGCTTTCTGGGCCTGGCCCCTCCTCAACTGTGCCACTGGAGACCACCTGCCACAGGCTTTTGTGCGTCGACTCACACACACCCACAGCTAGCCTCTTTCAGAGAGACTGTGTGTTAACTGTCAATGCAGGTGCAGAGGTGGGGGCTGGAGGGCGCCACTCAAAGCCAAAATGTCAGGGGGGTGTTCCTAGGAGGGGGCTGTGCCTGGTATCAGATCTTCAATTACATTTGTATGGTTTCCAATCAGCACCTGCGGTTCCGGCTAAAGCAGGCTCAGCTTTGACTGGAGGTTGCCACTCAAACCGAACCTGCAGCCTCCCTGACACTGCTGCACCCACACCCAACTCTGTTTCCTGTTTGTGAACCAACTCCCCAACCACACAGGCAGTCCAGTCTGAGAAAGGGCAGTTGGGAGAAAGACAGCCATTGCCTTGGACTCAATGCCACAGTCCCCCAGCTCAGGCTGGGGATGCCCAGCTGTTCCTACTGAAGGCTGGCAGCTGCTTTCCCGGCATTGCGACTAACAGCTGGACAGAACAGCTGTGGTTGGCAGGCACAAGCAAAAGAGGCTACCCAGAGGAGCCCAGAACTCTCTCTGCTCCCTTTCACAAAGGGCCTGGTCCTGGGGTTGAGATTCACTGCAGTCAGATGTTGCTGAGGGCCAAATGTCAGCCGAGCCTGGAGGTAGCTGCTGTTTGGCCTGAAGCAAATTTCTACTTCTCCAAAGATCCCCAGATTGTTTGTTCTACAACTAGAATTCCCAAAGGCACGAGCCAATTCCGTGGGGCGGGGTGGGGTCTCCCTTCCCTACTCACATCTGTTCTGCTATCTGGGTGTCCATGGGGCTGGGAGAGTCCATGGAGAGGCCTGGGGAGGGTGAGGATTAGACAGAACACTTTCAGTGTAGTGACATTGACACACTTTATCCACCACATCCCGCAACCCTGTTCAAAGAAGAGATGGGAAAGCTAAGGAAAAAAACTTCAATTTCTGTTTAAGACCTTGATGCATTTTAAAATAAAGTCACCCACGCACCCCAAATGCTGACACTTGTCCTCCAAATTGCTCAGAGTCCCCTTGCCTGTGTAGCTTGAAAACCTGTTTTCTAAGCCACAACACTTGCTAAGCATTTTTCTCAAAAAGGTTTAAAATGAGAGTCAATGACCTTTAAAGGAAAAGAGTAGTTTACTGAAGACAAGCTTTGGGCCCCGTGTGCCCCTAGCTGGGGCTGTGGTTCAGGGCTCCAGGGGCCTGCTTTAAGATCTCATCTCTAATTTAGGGCCCCACCCTGCAGAAGCCAGAAGTCTGGGCTGGGTGTGGCAGCAGCATCAGAGGTGTGTCCTTCCCCCAGGTGAGGGGGCAGTGGGGTGAGGGGAACAGCTGGTAGGAAAGATGTTACTCAGGCTGCCTTAAACTCTTGAGGGCACTTCCAAGGCACCCCTGGACCTTACCTGCATCAGAAGCTTCCGAAGACTCAGATGCCCGCCGGCTCAGGGAGAGGGACTTCAGCTGGCTGCGGCTGGAAAGCAGGTTCTCCTCTGGACTTGCTGGTGTCTCACTGGGAAAACAGGGACCCAGAGAAGGAGCCTGGGGATGCAGCCACGCCCCTAAAAGGACCCACCGCCTCTGAGTGCAGGAGAAGAGAGCCCAGGGACAGGAGTCTAGAGGGAACGGGGTAGAAGAGCTTTACCTAAATTCTCCAGGCCCCCACCCATTCACTTGCCTTTCTAGAGGGCCCAGCCCTTGGGGCAGGGGGAGGGTAACCCTGCGTGAGCAACCCCATCTAAACCGTGTAGCAGATGGTCAGCAGCAGGATGGACCCTGAGTCCCCTCATCCCTGGGGCTGAATTGAGCTGAGGTGGAAGCAGAGCGCCAGGTTAAGGAGATAGGAGGACCTGACCCCTTTGCCACTTCCAAGTCAGGTCCCTAATGCTGGCATGGGGCAGAATGGTGGTGATATTGGCAGAGATCAGGGAGATAAGGCGGTGGGGGCACAAGCCAGGAGGGGGAGGGCTAAGGCAGGTCACCTGGAGTCTGTGGGCTGTATCACTTCCTCTCCCCACCTTTTCGATGTCCCACCCTAGCAGGCCCGGGACCATGTCCTGGCTGGCGCCTCCCAGCCCACGCCCAGTCTCCTCTGTGCGCCTTACCTGCCAAGCCCCGCGAGGTCGTGCATGGTCTTGGTGAGGGTGGTGATCGGCGACGAAGCGGCCGCGCGCTCCGGAGACCCCAGAAGGCCGCGAGCTCCCGGCCAGAGGCCCGGGAGGTGGCTGGGGCGCTGGACGCTGCCACGCTCGCCGGCCAGGCTGAGAGCTGAGCCCGACGCGGGCTCAGGCTGGGGGATCTCCATCCCCTCGGGGGTCGCAGGAGGAGGGCTGGAAGTCAGGGGTGCAGGGACGCCAAGAGACGCAGGGCACAGATGTTTGGGAGGATGGGGGGGTCGCGGGAGGGGGGAGGGAGGGAGAGCACGGGGCTGAGAGCGAGGGAGACGGGGAGGGTGGGGAGGGATGGAGGGACCCAGGGACCAGCCTCCGGTCCCGGGAAGCCGCTGACTGCAGCTGCCACCTCCAGAGCCTCTCCTTATATATTCGAAAAATAACAGCGACCGCGCCGCCAGACGCCGCCAATGGGGACAAGGGTTGGAGGAGGGCTGTCACGGGGGCGTGGAATGGGCGGGGTCTGGGCGGGCCACTCCCACGCCAGGGCCCGGCTGTCTGGGTGGAAGGAGAGCATCCACGCGCGTCCCTTCCCTAGCCTACTGCCCACCGCCAGCCTGGGCTCGGAGACCCCGGCCTCCCGAATTCCACAGCTCTCTGGACGCAGGCTGGAACGACAAACACAGGCCTAGCGCAGAGGGGGGCCCCTAATATACTATCAGATGCAATCACACCTAGAGGACGCCCACTGGGCTCAAGGCCTTTGCCCAACAAGGAGGCGAGCTGCGGCCTCTGTGGTCTTGATTCCATTTTACAGATGGAGTCGTTGAGGCAGGGCGAGGTTCACAATCTCGTCCAAGGTCACGCGAGGGGAGGGGGCGATAGACGTTCGCGCTCGAGGGCCTCTAACTCCGCGATGCGCCCGCGACCCGCGGCGCCGACTGATCCCCAAGTGGAATTCCCACGCGGAGCCCTAGAGTAGGACGTGGGGCAGTCGGGGTTGGGGGGCAGCAAACGTGGAACTGACGAGCGCTTCCAGGAGCCTCCAGATAAGACTTTCAGGGGCCCAGTTTTTCCTAGCAGCCTGAGGACCCTCCAGGAACTGGAGCGCTCAAGCTTTTGGCGATGGGCGCGCGCAGCCAAAAACACAAGAGCTGCAGCCTCGCGCCCCTTTCCATGCAGTGCTGGCCTCCCGGGCACAGAGGGATCATTGAGTTGAGGAGGGACTGGTAGTGGATGGATGACAGGACCTGAGGAGGCAGAGGGTAGGAAGACCCCAGTTGCCCTTGTAAAAGAGACCAGGGTGGGTACAGAGGCCTTGCAGTCTCTCAGCCTTTTCACTCAGGTCCTGTGCTGTGCCAGGCACTGTTCTGGGCAGACCTGAGGTTTGGATTCACTCATCCTGGGTCAGGGGTCCAGGTCTAGTCACTCTCCATAGTTGAAGGTGGGATTTCATGTCTGTCTGGGGCCCCCTAAATAAACTTCTACTAAACGACATTTTAAAATTTATTTTAATTTTTTTTGGTTTTGTTTTAAATTTTGTGTGTGTGTACCGTCAAATTGGATCTGACTGGTACAGGAGGACACTGTCCCTCCTTCTCCAGCATCTCTTGCATCAGAGCATCTGTTGGAGTCGAACATTTTTATAATCAATGCAGCTAGTGTCAGGAGGAGGAAGTACTGGTGGCTAAGTGGTAAGGCGTTGTGCTGTCAATCCAAAAGTATGTGGTTCAAATCCACCAACTGCTCCGCGAGAGAAGGGCAGTCTCCACCCATGGAATTTACTGCCTCTGAAAACATGTTGGAGGATCGGTATGGATGGGTTCCAACTGGCTTATACCTAACAACAGTGGGGAGTGGTGTTAGGGGTGGTGGTATCATACTTAACAACTCCTTGAAATCTCTGTCAGGTCACCACTGAGCTGATGGCTCAAGGCCCAAACCCCAGAGGAGTCTTTCCAGGGCTTTCCTCATGCTGTCTCCCTCAATCTCTTTTTTTGTCACTTATAATAGATAATGTCTTCAATTAAAACAAAACAAGATCTTCTCAATAAAAACAACTTAAAAGATCCAACAAAGTAGAGCTAGAAGAAAATTCCTCAACAAAATTGTTGTTTGTTGTTATTTGCTGTGGGAACCAACCCTCCAGTGGGTTTTCAGAGGTTATAAATCGCACAGATGGAGATTACTCCTCTTTCCCTCACAGAGCTGCTAGTGGATTTGAACTGCATGCCTTTGGGCTGGAAGCACACATCCTTACTACTAAGCCATCAGATCTTAAGGTCTCTATTCTAAACCAACAGCCAACATTATTCTCAATGAAGAGAGTCTGAAAGCATTTTCTTTGAGAGCAAGAACTAAAGTTATCGTTTATTATCACTCCTATTCAATATTGTACTGGGAGACCTAGTTATAGTAATAAAGCAAGAAGGAAATCATGAACATAGAAGTTTGTAAGGAAGAAGTAAAAACATTCCCACCGGCAGATGAAAATCGAAAGGGCTGAAATTGCTTGGCATTTCTTAGACTGAAGGAACTAAAGAACAAATTCAAGCCTCAAGTTGCAATACTTAAGGATACTATGGGCAGAATATTGAATAATCTAGGAGCCATTAAAAGAAAGTGGAAGGAGTATACAAAGTCACTGTACCAAAAAGAATTGGCTAAATAAGAATTTCATGAAACAATATATGGTCAAAAGCCCATGGTTATGAATGAGGAAGTGCAGGCTGCTCTGAAGGAATTGGGGGAGGGGGAAAACCCCCAGGAATTGATAGAATACCAATTGATATAGTTAAACAAAAAAATGCTGCCCTAGACAACACTCACCAGGTTGTGCCAAGAAGTCTGGAGGATAACCACCTGGCTAACTGACTGGAAGAGATCTATATTCCCATTCCAAAAAAAAGGTGACCCAACAGAGTATGGAAATTATCAAACAATATCACATGCAAACAAAATCCTGCTGATGTACACCCAAAAATTACTGGAACAGTAGTACATAGAAAGAGAACTACCAGATATACAAGCTGGGTTTAGAAGAGGTTGTGGTACTAGAGACATAATTGTCAATGTCAGATGGATCTTGACCAAAAGCAAAGAGTAAGAGAAGAATGTCTGTTGTGCTTCATTGACTATGTATGCAAAGACATTCGACTGTGTAGATCACAACAAATTGTGGCTAACCTAAAGGAGAATGGGAATCCCAAAACACTTGATTGCGCTCATGTGAAACCTATACTCAGACCAGAAGGCTGTAGTCAGAACAGAGCAAGGAAATACTGTATGGTTCAAAATCAAGAAAGCAGTGTTTCAGGAATGAGTCCTGTCTCCATACCTTTTCGATTTATATGCAGAACAGATCATCCAGGAGGCTGGGCTCTGTAAGGAGGAATGTGGCATTAAGATTGGAGGAGGATTCATTAACAACCTGAAATATGCAGATGATGCAACCTCGCTTGCTGAAACTGAGGAGAATCTGAAGTGCTTGCTGCAGAAAATCAAGGACTGTAGTCTTAATATGGATTGACGCTCAACATCAATTGGAAGTACCATGATGGATGGAAAAGAGCTTGAGGTTGTTAACAATTTCTGCTTGCCCAACTCTACAATCAACACTCTTCGCACAAGCAGTCAGGAAATAAAAAGATGGATTGCATTGGGAAAAAATCTGCAGCCAGGGTTCTCCCAAGAGTACTGAGAAGCAATGATGTCAGTTTAGAGACGAAGATGTGCCTATCCAGGCCATGGTTTTTGCAGTTACTTTCTATGCATCAAAGAGCTGGACCATAACTAAGGATGATAGAAGAATCATTGCCTTTGAGTTGTGGTGCTGGACGAGAGTGTTGAACATTCTATGGACCACCAAGAGAACAAACAAGTCTGTCTTGAAGAGGGAGAAACCAAATTTCTCCTTGGAGGCTAGTATTTTGTAGCTCCATCTCACCTACTTTGGGCTTGTGGCCAGGAGGGACCAGTCCTTGGAGAAGGACATCCTGCTTGGAAGGGTGGAGGTACAGTGTAGTAGAGGAAGACCCTGAATGAGATGGATTGAAACAATAACGGGGAATGGAGGTAGATGTATTGGCATCAGTGAGACTGGCTCAGGACAGAGCAGGCTTCAGAGCTGTTGTACATAGGATTGCTATGAGTCACAAGAATCTCAATGGCACATAACAACTAGTAGAAGCCATGATCCTGTCCATAGAAAAGCTTAGAGGCTGCACAAGAAAGTCACAGGAATGAAAAAAAGGACTTTAGCAAAGTGATAAGGTACATGATCAACACAGAAAAATGAATTCTTGAAGATAACAAATACCACTTACTACAGTCTTGACACAAGTGACTTGATGGCATATAACAACAACAGCAACATAGCCCTGGTGGCCTCATAGTAAGGAGCTGGGCTGCCAACCCAAAGGCACACAGTTCAAATCCACCAAGCTACTCCATGTGAGAAAGATGGGCAATCTCCTCCCATATGATTAAACTGCCTCTGAAACTTCCCTTCAGGGTCAATTATGAGTCAGTTGCAACTCAAAGGTACAGAATAATAACAACAGAGGCATAAACTACTTATACAGGAAAAACTACAAAATGTTATCACAAGAAAACAAAGGAGAGCTATATAAATGAGAAAACAGAGCATGCTTATGAATAGGAAGACTTAATATTGTTAAAATGTCAAACTACCCACATCAACCTATAGATATAATGCAACCCGGTGCCAAATTCTAACAACATCTTTTAATGAAAAATGGCAAAAATAACCTCTGATTTTATAGGGAAAGAAAAGAGGCCCTGAATAATCAAATAATGAAGGACAAAGTTGTAGGCCTAACATTCCAGGCCTGAGGACCTACAACACAACCATTGAAGGCAAAACAGTCTGGTAATAAAAACAAAACAAAGCGATACAAACCCCAAAGCCTGGTCCCGATCCAAAGACGGACACACAGGCTGATCCAGGAAGAAATCCACTCAGCCATGGACAGCTGACAAAAGGTCAAAATGCATTAAGTGAGGAAGAAATAAATCTCTCTAACAAATGGGTCTAGCAACACTGCAGAAAAAAAAAATAATGAAATGCGACTAGCAGTTTGCAGCATACATAAAAACAAACTAAAAAATGGATCATAGGGTTACATTTTAAGCCTAAAACAACAAAGTTCATGAAAGTAAAAATGGGGAGGGA